CAAGAAATTACTACTACTTTCTCCAGAAATTACTACTACTTTCTCCACAAATTACTACTACTTTCTCCAGAAATTACTACTACTTTCTCCAGAAATTACTACTAATTTCTCCAGAAATTACTCCAGAAATTACTAAGACTTTCTCCAGAAATTTCTCAAGAAATTACTACTACTTTCTCCAGAAATTACTGGAGAAATTTCTGGAGAAATCTCTGTGCTCAAAGGACACGGCTGAAAGTCAACATTGGATCCCCGTGACGGTCAGGCCCTCCGGCGTCAAAGAAGACCCAGGACTGTTGAACAGCTAGAATCCTACATCAGATAATGATGGGACAACATTCCTTTTCAAAAACTTCAAACTGGTCTCATCAACTCCTAGATGTACACAGACATTTATTAAAAGGAGAGATCGTGAGGTCCCATCTGTTATTAGATGTGTTGCTGCCACAGTTTTTAAAATTACCGCATTTTTCCAAAATATGTAACTTTCCTAATTACAACTTTTGACATGTTTACTTTGTTCCATTGTGAATAAAATATGGTTATGAGGTTTGCAATTCAGTATTCTGTTTTTATTTACCTTTTACACAACTTCCCAATTATATTGGAACTAGTATTGTAAATCAATTCAACATTAACCCTTCGTTACTCCTGTGTCTCGCACAGACCACGATTCCACTCAGTGGTGCTACGATAACTTTGTCAACTACCGCTCGCTGATGTCTGCGGACAACGTTCGGCAGCAGCTGTCGAGGATCATGGACCGGTTCAACTTGCCGAGGAGGAGCACGGACTTCTGCAGCCGAGACTATTACCTCAGCATCCGCCGAGCGCTGGTCACCGGCTTTTTCATGCAGGTCACTGATCAGGGTCTTACTGGGACTCTTAAAGCAGCGGCTCCCAAACCTTTTTACCAACATAATACAAGTTGTAAAGACTTGTGACCCCAACTGTTGCTGGTTGAGTTCTCGTGGCTCATTGAGACTACCTGTATAATTAAAGAGTAAATGCAAAAATTAAAAAAAAAAATGGTTGAAGTGTACAAACGTCACAAAAATCCATTTAAACAACAGCCACGTTATTAATTCGTGACGACTGCCTTTATCTAATAGATATGGATAGATATCCCATTAGCAGTCATTTAAGTTTTTTGTAGATTTTAAGACCCCCAACTTGGCGTTTCATTGCCCTCTGTGGGGTCCCAACCCCAACTTTTAGAACCACTGTCTTAAAGAATAGTTCAGATTTTTTTCAGTTGTGTTCTTTGAAAATATTTTGAACAGGTAATATCTTACCTGTTTTAGACAGCTCTTTGAACAACCTCAGTTTGAAAAAGTAGAGTTTAATTCTGACTGAACTGATGAGCCAATTGCTAATTTGAGTTGGGCCAAAAAGTGGATTGCTGCTGCGGTAAACAACTCTTTGACTTCTAAAGATTATGTGAGTGTTCATGCACACTCTAAGACTATTACTACTGTAGTACTACTAAAATTACTACTCCACTACTACTGCTACTACTACTAATCTAGTAGTACTACTAATATTACTACTGCACTACTACTACAGCTGCTGCTGCTACTACTACCACTATGACCATTACTCTAGTACTATTACTAGTTTTACTACTCTGTTACTACTAATATTGCTACTACTACTACTTTTACTACTCCGTTTCTACTAATATTACTACTACTATTACCACTGTTACTACTTCTACTATTACTGTAGTACTACTACTATTACTACTACTACTATTAC